AGGGGAAACAAAATGGCCTTAACCAATATGTCAATAAACAAGGTCAAAATCTTATTACATGAAGAAATAACACTCCAATAGATTAATTTTCTTCTTTCCAACAAATGGACACTCTGTAAAGGTAACAATTTGGTCTCTTGCCCATCTTTTGCGCTTGAAATGACTATGACCTTTCCTTCTTCCCATTTCATGGAAGAGTACACCTAATTTACATATTCTAAGATTCTGCACCTCATTGACATAGCAGTGTTAATCCTCATATTATTTTCAACTTGCAAGTAATGAAGGAATGGGTAACCTAGTACATAAATAGAAAATCTTATAACACGGCTTTTATTGATATCATATCATACACAAACTTAAAGCCAAAACTAAGAAGCTAAAGAAAGTTAATAAAAAAACAATTAAATAACAGTTAAACAAGCAATAATATAGCATAATCTCTAGTTATTGACTTTCTCCTATCATCTAAAAAATAATTAACAAAATAAAATCATTCATACTTTTCCAGTTCATTCTAAATATAAATCTAAATGTAAAATTAAAACATACTACATATTATTACTTCTTTGATCAAAGTTATGATTCAAGAAAATGATTGACCTCAGTCCTTCATTGAGCATATGGACATGTATACATTCATGTATAATAAGGTTTAAAGGTTAAAATTTCAATAATAAATACTAGTATAACAAATTTATTATAATCAAATAGAATAGTCAATAAAAATTCACTAATTAAATAGAGTTTAAAACTCATCAAACATTAAGGTAGATTAATTAAAAAATGAGAGAAACTACTTAAACAAAGGCTTCAATTTGAGTAAAAAGTTCATTGAGTCATTTCATCAAACATGTTATGGGCATAAAGTAAATAGAGAATGCTTGTACTACACTTTCCAATATTAACCACTAATGTCTTACAATAAAACAAAATAACCAATTATTCAATGTTCTAACTTGCACAATACACTCAAAAATCGGAAAAATATATAAATGAAACCCTAAAGTGCATATGATAATTTGAGAATAGATATTACCTCAATAGTAGGGTTTTGAGAAGAATGGTCAATCGTGGAGAGAAAATCCACCACAATGAAACTGGAATAATGAGTGAAAATGGTTTAGAAATTAGATAAAAATGAGATGAAGAAGAGTGTGTTGAGAGTTCGGTGTCCTCGAAGGAAGAGTACACAAGGAATGGAAGCTTACGTTGGGGAAGAGATAAGGGGAAGGGTTAAAATAGAAAGGGTAAAACTAAATTGGGCCTTTTATAGCATGTACACTTTGTGTACATTTGATGTACACTAAGCATTTCTCTTGAAGTTTAAGAACGCAAAAAATTAAAATCTTGAGCATCCCAATGGATTAATCGCTGACGCAAACATCCCGATCAAAAGACAAAAAAATTAGGGAGGTATAACACATAAATCTGACTCGACAGAGTATATGTCGAAAAGAACATACGTATATGGCAAAAAAAATTCTAATCCCAGATTCAGATGGAAACATAATGATTCCCTTTGATCATCAACTGCCGATTCAACTTGAATACATTAAGAACGAATTGCTTGAAAGCAAAATCTCATTACCCTTATTTCATTTAATCGGCAGATCATATGATAAAAGAAATTCCACAAATTCAATCGCATAAGATTGAACAAAAATATGAATACTCCAAATAATTCAATATGAAGAGGCTCTGATACCAATTGTTGGAATAAATCCGATAATACTTTAATCTTCATATTGGAATTATCTAGAGAATTAACTGAGCGGAAGCGTACCTGACTCCATTGGAGATATCTTTAAAGATTCGGGAGACGGAGCCTAGGGTTTGCGTCTTCTAGTTGATACACGCCCTCGGGAATTATCTCTCTAGCGATGGGATGCAGAAAGACAGAATGGCGTGCTCAACTAGGGACCATAACCCCTCTATTTATAGAGAATGCTCAACCCTAATCAGCCCATCATTAATTAGGTTAAGCTCATGGGTTTCTACACAATTGGGCCCTATACCTTATTAGATAACTTATTAGCCCACTTAAATTAATATCCATAGGACCACTAATTTTTGGGCTAAATATAAGATAGCATATAACATACAATTAACCCAATAAATAATATATTGTGAATATTATATGTAGTATAAGTCCAATAATCTCATTCTAGCCATAAACTCAAGAAATAAAAATTGAAGTTCCTAATTACACCTACAAAATTCTAGAACAGTTTTCAACATTGATTCTCCCCAATCGGTAGTATCCAACCTCTTGGCCTCACCCACAACTTATTTCTTTTGTACAGCTTCACCGATCATCTAGCGGAGAGGTATAATCTTCACGTTCTTGAATTGTTAGGTCCACATCCCATTCATCCCGAACTTTAGCCTTAAATTAATGGACCGAATCCATCTTCTAACAGCGCCGATTTCTCTCATCTCTGGTGATTGAGAGCTTGAGGGAGAAGAAAAGCATGAGCTTTTGGGTTGTGATTATTGGCCGGAGGCTATTTATAGGGGGGGGGGGGGGGGAATTGAGACTTGGGAGTGAGCTGTATATTATTGTGCTATCTAATTTAATACGGAGTACTCTGTAATACTGCGCAACACACTATTATTCCGCAGATAATAGATACACTCTCAATTACGGAGTATAAGACAGGTTGTCCATGCTAGACAATCCATAGGCTGGCAGCACATGTTTTCAAATTTTGAAAAGTCAAGTAGCGTATTGTAGAAGCTAGTAATAGTGAGTTCCAAGATAATTATTCTCCCAATTGCTATTGCTTAGCATCCATGACCCGATTGTGTTCCATATTTGACCCGTATCTTTTGGAGGGAAAATGACCAGGATTCCACCTTTTTTTATATAGAGTAAGATACGGAGTACTTCGTAACTTTTGGTTTGCATTTCAATTTTGAGGACAACATCTCATAATTTTCTATAAATTTTGATATAATATGAATATTACGTACATAATTTTTTTTAAAAAAATACTTTTTATGAAGTTTCAACTGCTAGAGTTTTTAGGTTCAAAAGTTTTCTTATGTTAAAATACTTTTTTTCATCTTTAAAATACTTATGTTTAAAATATTTGTCTTACATCTTTAACTTTTTTTTTTCAAAAGTGGGATCGAAGTTACAACAACAAAATTAAAAACCAATTTTTAAAATCCAAATGTTTGAGTTTTTTCAAAGAAAAACATTTCCTTATATTATTAGTCCTTTTTCTATGAATATTACTACATTTAGAGCCCGTTTGGTAGCACAAAAATTGGCTGATTTGGCTAATTCTACTGAAATTTATGAAGTTCTGGTTGAAGTTGCTGCATTGGTTGATTCTGATGATTTAAGAAGAACTATTTTTAAAATATATTTTATTAATAAATTAAAGAAAAAATTATATGTAAAAATAGCTAAAATGGTAATCTACAATAACTTCAGCCAATACAGTCTGAAAATTAACTTCAATCTTACTTTTTCTGTTTATTACACATGCAGCACGTGTAAGCAAAAGTTACGTATTTGGTGAAAAAGTTGGCTGATGAGCTTGATAAGCCGAAAAATAATTTTATCAAACGGCCTCTTATTTCAAAAGACAAAATTACGACGTATTTTAAAATTTTTCAAAAAAGAGACATATTTTGTGACTAGTTTCGAGGGATTATTATCTACAAGTGACTTGGCACTATGACAATGATGTATTACAGTGACCATTGTCCAAATATTCGTACACAGGACTAGTCATATTTTTTACCAAAAAACATAACTAGTCATATAATTGTCCGGGAAAAACTGTTAGTAATTTATATGTCATTTTTTTCATTTTATTATAGCCTTATAGGGTTCCCAATTCCAAAAATATGTTACACTTTTCAATTGTTGATAAAAGTTAATTCAATTATAATTAAGAGACACGACTGGATTATTATTTATCCTAAAATACCTGAACTGTTTTTTTATTTTGGAATAAAATATCTCAATTGTTCTTGACCCTCTTTGCCCCATTAAACCGTTGTGTATTTTGAGATTGTAATACATGGTCTAACCCCAAATCTAAATCTGAATGTCCCATTTGAATGAGGAAGGAGGAAGAGGAACATTCCCCCATCAACCTTGCATCCCATCGATTTTGACATCATTATTAAGGCAGTGTTTGGTTCAAGATGCTATTTTATACAGGACGAAATCTGATGTACGGAGTGTGAGATACCTATGATTGGTTCGCGTCTTTGATCTTTTTGGTAATGTTACATTCCCAAAAGTGGAAAACGTGATCACATGAATGGGCATGTGAAACCCATTAGAGCCTTAGGTTATGTTAGATTCCTGGTGGCTTATTAATTTTCTTCCAAAAAACCCATGCTTCATTAATCTAATACAAGTTCTTAATAACTTATGATATACCACTCTTCATTTTGTAATTTTTAAAATTATATTGTATTTGAAATTATTTATACAATTATACTATACTCCCTCCGTCGCTTAAAACTTTGCTAACATTATTTTTTTGGATGTCCCACTAACTTTGCCACTTTCATTTTTAAGTAAATAATTTGTGGTTCCAGTTAATTCTCTTTCCTCTGCACAAACCTGAATCACACAATTTTTACTTTATTAATCTTCATGCCGGTCAAAATTGCCAAAGTTTTGAGGGACGGAGGGAGTATATTGTAAGCTAATACTATATTTTTTCACTGATCTTTGTTATTTGTGCAATTAAACATATTTTGCTTAAAATTATTTACTAATGTTCACTAATCTTAGTCATTTGTGCAATTAAATACATTTTGCTTAGAATTAATTCAATAAGTTTTTATTTTAATAAAAAGGTGATTTTTTAAAGTGATTTTGGAGAAAGTAATTAATAGTAAAAGTTTGTAGTGTTGGAATAAAAAGTGATTCTGAAAAAGTAAAAATTGGTAGTGTTTGGTAAAATAAGTGCTTTTTGTATACTAGAAAAAGTGAAAAATAGTTTAAAGCATACTTTCACCTGCTTCCGGCTTTTTAGTGATTAATTTAAGCAGAAGACACCTCTTCAGCTTTTTTAAAGCAAGAAGTTCAAAAGCACTTTTATTAAGCAATTAAAACACTCCTTTACGCTCTTACCCCCGGATCCGGAGCCTCTACTTTAGTTTAGAGTAAGGTAGAGTCTTTTGCTTCCTCCCGATCGTCCGATCGACAATTCAACGGTTGAAGATCTTGGGCTCCACTTTTTCGCCAATCTCGAGGCCATTTTGACCGTCCCCTCCCGTCAATGGGCATGACACCCTCCTAGTCCGGTAGAGCCGTAGAGGATCCAATCCCTTACCCCCACATCTAGAAGTATCCAAACAAATACTACGTATTTCAATCGGTGGCATTTCCTTGCAACCGCCCCTGGTTTTCTTCTTCTCCAATTCACGCCGCCTATATATATTCATCCAAAATCCATTTCCAATGCACAGTACACAAATTCCAGAGCGAAAACGAATACAAAGACGGACATAAACCGTCTCTTCCAACTGTTTCACACACATACTATGGATACTAAGATCGGAGCCGTCGAAGCTTCATCTAAGCCTTCCAGTGGCGTGCTCGGCAGTATTCCGACCAACGGTGCAGTTACCGTTCACGCCTCCCCCGCCCCTTTCAACTCAGCTGAGGCTACTCTAGGCCGCCATCTCGCTCGTCGCCTCGTCCAGATCGGCGTGAAGGACGTCTTCAGCGTCCCCGGTGACTTTAATCTTACGCTGCTTGATCACCTTATTGCTGAACCCGGGCTCAACCTGATCGGCTGCTGCAACGAGCTCAACGCCGGATACGCCGCCGACGGCTATGCCAGGGCGCGCGGTGTTGGAGCGTGCGTCGTCACTTTCACTGTCGGAGGACTCAGCGTTCTCAACGCCATAGCCGGCGCGTACAGTGAGAACCTTCCGCTGATATGTATTGTCGGGGGTCCCAACTCGAATGACTACGGGACTAACAGGATCCTCCACCATACCATCGGGTTGCCTGATTTTAGTCAGGAACTCCGTTGCTTTCAAACCGTCACTTGTTATCAGGTCTGACAGTGATTGATCATCCTGAATTCCTGAATAATATGTTGATTGATTGACTGATCATCATGTTATCTTGATACTCCAATACACTATTGTTAATTAATTAATTGATCATCCAGATTATATTGTTTATTTATGAATATTAGGTGCGATATTATTCTGGATTGTTATTGATGACAAATTTGCTGGTTTAGGCTGTGGTGAACAATTTAGAGGACGCACATGAGTTGATCGATACAGCAATTTCGACGTCATTGAAAGAGAGCAAGCCCGTTTACATAAGCGTTAGCTGTAACTTGCCTGGAAACCCGCATCCTACCTTTATTCGAGAACCGGTTCCATTCTCACTCACCCCCAAGTATGATCCTTCTTGACTTTCTACCTTTTGTGCTCGGTCTTTTTGCTTATGTTTTCTTTTCAACAAAATTATAGGGAATAATCAACTTCTTTGTTGCTAATTAAAATAATACTTCACTTCTTTGTGGTTAGTCAAATAAGAATGATGCAATTTATTTTCATGGCGAAAAACTGTTAAATATCTTAGATTCTGATATGCTCTGTTGTTGGTCTGTTACAACAAATCGTCAAGACGGGGAATCACAGCTGTCTGTGCTCAGTAACAATCCATAAGTCGATTCTGCTTTCTTTTGTCTTCCTGTTTGCAATTTGTTCTGCTATTAATGAATGTGGTCAAGTTTTGTAATGTTCATTTCTATGTTGTTGTGTTCCTTTTATTCTGCTAACAATGAACGGGATCAAGTTTTTCATGTCTATTTCTATGTCATATATATAGATTGAGTAATACAATGGGTTTGGAGGCAGCAGTAGAGGCAGCAGCAGAGTTCTTAAACAAAGCAGTAAAGCCAGTGTTGGTTGGAGGCCCAAAAATGCGTGTGGCAAAAGCTGGTAATGCCTTTGTTGAGTTGGCAGATTCTTGCGGTTATGCAACGGCAGTTATGCCCTCTGCTAAGGGCCTAGTTCCTGAACACCATCCTCATTTCATTGGAACCTATTGGGGAGCAGTGAGCACCTCCTTTTGTGCTGAAATCGTTGAATCGGCTGATGCTTACTTGTTTGTGGGACCCATATTTAATGACTATAGTTCTGTTGGCTACTCCTTGCTTCTCAAGAAAGAGAAGGCAATCATTGTGCAACCTGATCGCGTTGTCATTGCCAACGGCCCTGCATTTGGCTGTGTTCTGATGAAGGATTTCCTGTGTTCACTTGCCAAGAGGCTTAAACGCAACACCACAGCTTACGAGAATTATCACAGGATTTTTGTTCCCGAAGGGCATCCTCTGAGGTGTGAGCCAAAGGAGCCACTAAGGGTGAATGTTCTTTTCCAGCACATCCAGAAAATGCTGTCTGGTGAAACTGCAGTAATTGCTGAGACTGGGGACTCCTGGTTCAATTGCCTGAAGCTTAAATTACCTCAAGGATGCGGGTGAGCACTACAAACCAAACAATGCTCTACTATCATCATGTAAATAGTCCACTTATGGTCCTATACTTAGCCTCCACTTAGGGTTTTCACTTATGGTGCATACTCACAGATTTTTTGCCACTTTTATTCGTCTAATCACTTGGTGAAAATCAAATAAAATTTGCCTTGGTAAGTGATCCGAAGGACCAAAAGTGCCAAAAAATCTATAGTCATGCACCTAAGATGAGAAAAGGAAAGTAGGAGAGTGAAAGTGAAATGACCCGATAGTCATGGGATCAAAAGTGTAATAATTTCATCCAACTTCATTCACACGATATGTATTACCTTCTCCAAACAAAAACAGAAATGCAGGTTTCTGCTTTATTGCCAAGTCGTCACTTAAATATTCACTGAGATTGATTTTACAGGTACGAGTTCCAAATGCAGTATGGGTCCATTGGTTGGTCTGTGGGTGCGACCCTTGGGTATGCACAAGCTATACCGGAGAAGCGGGTGATAGCTTGCATTGGAGATGGTAGCTTTCAGGTAAACTTACGTTTAATATTTTACTTTTTGTTTGTTTGTAGAATGAGCAGCAAATGTTATGTATTTCTTTTTACCTAATAAGTAATGACACGTATTCTTTGAGTGGAATATTCGTAGGTGACAGCTCAGGATGTGTCAACAATGTTGCGTTGTGGACAGAAGACTATAATATTCCTGATAAACAATGGTGGCTATACCATTGAAGTTGAGATCCACGATGGACCTTACAATGTCATCAAGAACTGGAATTACACGGGACTCGTTGATGCAATCCACAATGGTGAGGGAAATTGCTGGACAACCAAGGTCAGTGAAAAATAGGAATGTTATAGAAACATTCAATTTTTTTTACATATAATTATATGATCAACAATTCTTAATTTCATTTTAGATAAAATAAAAATATCATTTTCGAGTGTTTTTTATTTTATATCTATAGTATATAATTCGCGATACATACGGACCCTTGTAGTTTGACGATCACAATGATTTGTAGGTGTTTTGTGAAGAGGAGCTGGTGGAAGCAATAGAGACAGCGACCGGAGCAAAGAAGGATTGCCTGTGTTTCATTGAAGTGATTGTACACAAGGACGATACAAGCAAAGAGCTACTGGAATGGGGGTCTAGGGTTTCTGCTGCTAACAGCAGGCCTCCAAACCCTCAGTAGCTGGTAAACCAAGTCAACATTTAAATGTTATTTTTGAGGAGGAAATAACAACACACTTGTGATTAGTTCCATGGGGTGAGGAGGAATTGATTTTCTATCTTGATGACCAGCCAGCTTATTTGAAGTTTCCCTCTCTTCATTTCTGAATGTAGAATAATACGAAGTACCTATCCCTTTCTCTTGGAAATTTTTGCAGTCTTTATCACAATAACGTGTGGGATAGTTTCTATACTATCTTCAGCAGCAACTTAGAAGTTTCCCTTTAATGATTGATGATGAATGTATTATCACTGGAGTGATGTTTAATATTGCTTTAATCTGTATAGTTCATTTTTAGTTTCCCACCCACCAGTTGGTGTGTTTTTGCACTCATTTTTGTTGTTGATATGTGCTTCTTTTCCTGCTTGGAATTCCGAATTAGGGCTATAGCAAAATAAGTACGAGCTGGCTGGAAGTTCGAGATCTATTTAAGATCGTTTGTTGATGATTTGTAGATGTCCCATAAATGAACACGTTTAATAGTTTGTTCACGCTGGTACATTTATATTTGGACTTGCAACTTTGCTCAAATATCATCGAATTTGTTGGTGATTTTAGCATCACCCAGGGGCGGAGCCAGGACTCTGGGTCGGGCTGGGCCGGTACAAAGATTATTTTGAAAAAAAAAAAAACTACACGAAATTTTTTATAGAAAAAAATTGGACACTTAAAATTTAACCGGGGTCAAGGTTGGCCCTCCCCTAGCTACGCCTATGCGTGTTCCATTGCAGAAAAATGATCTTTCTGTTGTTGCAGTCAATGTTTGAAATTGCGCACTGTGGAGTTGAGGCGTTTTTTTCCCAAGACGTATTGCATAAGCCTCAAAGCGCATTGAGGCGTAAGGCTAGGGCGTAAATCTTAATGCATGCGAAATTTTTATATAAAAATTTATAATCAATAAGAAATAAAAATTCCTGTAAAGTAACATACTTAATTACCAAACTAACAATAATGTCATAAAATTATGGAAATTTTAGTTGAAAATGGCATCATAGAAGTTCTTTAACCTAAAATTCTAAGTTTTTCATTTATGAATGCAAAAAGAATTGCTAATGGTAATATGAGTACATAATTCGATACATTAATCTAATCCAAATTAAAGAATATATACGATTATACTTGAAACAAAAATTCAAATGTTATGAATAAGAGAGAATTCCCTAAATAGGAATAAAAACGTTTTGAAATTCCAAAATAAGAGTATCATGTTTTTTATTCCTTGAATAGGAGTAATCTGTCAAGTTTGGAAGAAAATGACATGTTTAAAAGTCTTGTAATGTCAAACTTGGCAGAAATTTACTCCTATTCCGAGAATAAAAAATATGATACTCCTATTTTGGAATTTCAAAACGTTTTTACTTCTATTTAGGTCAATTTCTGATAAGTAAAACTTCACTAATAATAAAGAAAAGAATTGAATATAAATAATTAAAAACATTGCCAGAAACATAAAAAAAACATACGAGTAGTAAAATACATGGCAACAACTAATTTATTTCAAGCCTAAACAAACATTAAACTAAAATGGAATCCACTCAAAAGGATATTGCCTGCAGGCTGCAGCGTATCAGAAAGCTTAGAGATACGTGATGCGTCCAATGTCCGTGATGTCCGTGCCAGAATGGAATCCACCCTTGCTGTTTTGTTTCTTTTGTTAAGATGAGCATTGGACCGTTTTTTGCACTGGGCCGGAATGGATCTGCACTGGGCCAGTATTTTTCTTGCACTGGACTAATTCTAAAAAAAATTAAAAAACTATATATATAATAAAAAATATAAAAAATTACCCTGGGCCATGGCCCAGCCAGGCCACCCCCTCCCTCCGCCCCTGGCATCACCGGTCGTTTTGTGTAATTGGAAATGACATGAGTGCCAATGAGAATTAAAACTATGATCTAATACAAGTTAGTAGGTGTGGAGTGCACACTTGTATATAAGAACTAGTTTAGTTCCAAAGTGTCTACGTTAGTGGAACTCGAGGTAGAACTCCACACTTGTATACAAGAACTAGTTTAGTTCCAAAGTGTCTACGTTAGTGGAACTCGAGGTATAACTTTCAGTAGACCAGCTCTGTGGTTCTAGACCGAGTTCTAGAACGGTTAGACAGTTTCTAGCAGTTTCCCAAAAACTGTTGCGGTTATTCTTAATCGTGTTACAACTGCCTAGGACGATGAATATGGATATATACCACCATATTTCGTACAGAGGAGGTAGAGGAATAATATCCAACATATCTTCATCACTTTGGCACTCAAATTAAAGATAACAATCCATATACTCACTAGTTTGGCTCTAGTTCTTGTGCTTAAGTTCTAGAGTGTCCTTAAGGATTATCCTAGATTGAATTTCTTGTAACCCAGGCATAGAGGAGAAATATCAATTCGGAAAGTGAACTTACACGATCCTTAAGATATCCAAGTACTCGAATTATCACCCCCTACGTGATTTACCCCAACAATCGAATTGATATTTCCTTTGTGATAATCATGAGTACCGTGGAAGTGATGACATTCAAGTTCAACAAACTGGACAAGTTTCAAGGGAACGATTTCCGTAGATGGCAAAAGAAGATGCACTTCCTCCTCACCACTTTGAAGGTTGTGTACGTGTTGAGCACTCCAATGCCGGAAGTGATGGAGGACGAAACCTTGGAACAAACTAGGAGGCGTAACAAGTGGGAGAATGATGACTACATATGTAGAGACCACATTCTTAACGGTATGTCCGATGCGTTATTTGATATTTACCAAAACGTTGAGAGTGCGAAGGAATTGTGAAATTCTCTTGAGTCCAAACACATCGCCGAGGATGCTTCTAGTAAGAAGTTCTTGGTGAGTGATTTTAGTAATTATAAAATGATTGACTCAAGGCCGGTTATGGAACAATACAATGAACTCCTTCGTGTTCTTGGTCAATTTAAACTCCACAAGATAGGTGTTGATGAGTCATATGCCGTGTTGAGTATAATTGACAAACTTCCACCCTCTTGGAAGGATTTTAAACGTTCTTTAAAACATCAAGATGAGGAACTGTCCTTGGTTCAACTTGGGAGTCACTTGCGCATTGAGAAGAATCTTCGTGTGCAAGAGAATGACCAAATTATGGGTGAAGTTGAATCTAGACTGGCTCATGTTCACTTGGTTGAGGATAATAAATCTAACCCGAAAGATAAGGGGAAAGGCAAAAAACGCAAGTATGAAGACCATGACAAACCCAACAAGAAACCGAAAGGTTTGGTTTGTTGGAGGAGTCAAAAGGTTGGACATGTCAAGCGTGATTGCCGTGTGAAACTGAACAACATGGCGCTGGAACGAGTGACAGTGGACATGAACGGTCTAAGGACCTGGTTCCACGGAAAGGAGGTCAGTTCCTGACTAACTTTGATAATTCTGTCCAGAATTATGTATCACTCATTCCAGAATCTTTTTATGTACAGGATGATGACTGTGCATGGTGGATTGACTCGGGGGCTACAAGCCATGTGTGTAAGGATAAAGGATGGTTTGAAGACCTAGAACCAGTGGAGGTCGGTTCCTTCTTACGCATGGGAGACGAGTTAATGGCGCCTATCTTGGGAAAGGGTGTAGTTGTTTTAGTATTTACTTCTAGAAAAACAATTACGTTGTTTGATGTTTTGTATGTACTGAAGGTTCGAAAGAATCGTGTTTCGGGAAGTATGTTTAATAATTTAGGGTTCAAACAAGTGATTGAATCCGATAAATATATTCTGTCCAAGTGTGGTGTGTTTGTTGGTTTTGGATATTTATCAAATCGCATGTTTCGTTTCAATGTTGTGAATAAATTAATTCCTAGTGATAATTCTGTTTTTGTGGCATCTTCCATGAATGATTGTATGATTTGGCATGCTAGACTAGCTCACATTAATTTTAGAAAAATGCATGAAATGTCTAAAGATGGTTTAATTCCGGCTTTTGATATCAATGATGATAACTTTAGGACTTACATGCTGACTAAGATCACAAAACAACTGTTTCCTAATATTGAAAGGAATTCGGCTATTTTGGATCTTGTACATAGTGATCTATGTGATTTTCACTCAACTCCTTCCCTTGGCAATAAAAAGTATGTAGCTACTTTTATTGATGATTCAACTCGGTTTTGTTATGTGTATTTATTGCACACTAAGGATGAAGCTTTAGAGAAATTTAAAGTGTACAAAACCGAGGTTGAATTGCAATTGGGTAATCCAATTAAATGTCTTAGGACTTATCGGGGAGGAGAATTGTTACCAAGTTGAGGATGATCCAAAGACCTTTAAAGAGGCAATGGAATCCCGAGATGTTGCCTTTTGGAAGGAGGCAATTGATGAAGAAATGTCATCAATTATGGAGAACAACACTTGGGTGTTGTTGGATTTACCACCGCTTTCTAAACCCTTAGGTTGCAAATGGATCTTCAAAAAGAAGATGAAAGTGGATGGAACTGTTGACAGGTTCAAGGCTCGGTTGGTCATTCAAGGTTTTAGACAAAAACCCGGAATTGACTATTTTGACACATATGCGCCGGTTGCTCGAATTACAACCATTAGGTTGTTAATTGCTTTGGCGGCTATACACAATCTGATTATACATCAGATGGATGTCAAGACGGCATTTTTAAATGGTGATCTTGATGAGGAAGTTTACATGAAACAACCGGAAGGTTTTGTTATGCCGGGAAATGAGCATAAGGTTTGTAAACTTGTTAAATCATTGTATGGGCTGAAACAAGCACCCAAACAATGGCATCAAAAGTTTGATGAAGTTATTTTGTCCAATGGTTTTAGTTTAAACCAATCGGACAAGTGTGTCTATAGCCGATTTGATGCATTCGAAGCGGGTGTGATCATATGTCTCTATGTTGATGACATGCTGATTTTTGGAACGGACCAAAATCAGGTTGATGAAACCAAAAGGTTGTTATCATCAAGGTTTTCCATGAAGGACATGGGGGAGGCGGATGTGATCCTTGGTATAAGGATTAAACGGGTAAACAAAGGGATTGCTTTGACTCAAGCTCACTATGTTGAGAATATTCTCAAAAGGTTTAATTATAGTGATTGTTCATCCGTTGGTACTCCCATGGATCCTAGTGTGAAGTTGATGCCTAATAAAGGAAAGGCGGTATCACAACTTGAGTACTCTCAAGCCATTGGTAGTCTGATGTATGCCATGACAAGTACTCGGCCGGATATTGCTTATGTCGTGGGTAGGTTGAGCCGGTTTACTAGTAATCCTAGTACTCAACATTGGCAAGCAATGAAGAGAGTATTCAAGTATTTGAAGGGAACCATGGATTATGATTTGTGTTACTTTGAGTATTCTTCGGTATTAGAAGGATATTCGGATGCAAGTTGGATATCCAATGTAGAGGATCACTCTTCTACAAGTGGTTGAGTATTCTTGCTTGGGGAAGGTTCCATTTATTGGGCATTCAAGAAGCAAACTTGTATCACAAGTTCAACGATGGAATCTGAGTTTGTTGCGTTGGCTACCGCCG